AAATTTAAAAAATATAATTTATAATAAAAACAAAAACATTAAAAAATATTTAAGACTTCTATATTAAAATATTTAAAAAATTAAAGAGAGAGAAATTAAAGACCTAAGTAAAACCAGGTTCACTGATTAGAAGGTGGAATATTATAAAAATGTCAGTTCTTCCCTTGTTGATCAACAGATTCAATGCCATCCCAATCAAAATCGCAGCAGGTTTTTTTTGGAGGAGTGGCATGAGGTTGGAATTGGCAAATTGATTATAAAAATATATGGAAATACAAATAACCTAGAATAACTAAAACAATCTTTGAAAAAAGTTGGAGAATTATCCTTCCTGATTTCAAGAAATATTGGTATTAGTGTACAAATAGACAAACAGATCAATGAAATAGAATTGAGTATCTAGAAACAGACCCACTCATATGTGATCAACTGATTTTTGACAAAGGTCTGAAGGTAATTCAATGGGGAAAGAAAAGTCTTTTCAACAAATGGTGCTGGAATATCTCGATATATATATATAAAAATAGCATCACCCTCTACCTCATACCATACAAAAACGAATTTGAGATGGATCATAGACCTAAATGTCAAAGCAAAACTAAAGCTTCTATAGAATAATTTCTTCATGACCTTCTGGTATGCAAATAATTGAGGATACAAAAAGCATTAACTTAAAAAGAGAACATTGATATTAATAAAATAGATTTCATAAGAAATAAAAACTTTTTGCTCTTCAAAGACACTGTTAAGAAAATGAAAAGGCAAGCCACACAGACTAGGAGACAACACTCATGACACAGATATCTGACAAATATATAAAAAGCTCATATATAAAACTCATTAATAACAAGACTAAAAACCAAATTAAAAATAGGCAAGATTTTAGCCGGGCGCGGTGGCTCATGCCTGTAATCCTAGCTTTCTGGGAGGCTGAGGCGGGTGGATTGCTCGAGGTCGGGAGTTCGAAACCAGCCTGAGCAAGAGCGAGACCCCGTCTCTACTATAAATAGAAAGAAACTAATTGGCCAACTAATATATATAGAAAAAAAAAATTAGCCGGGCATGGTGGCTCATGCCTGTAGTCCCAGCTACTTGGGAGGCTGAGACAGAAGGATCTCTTGAGCCCAGGAGTTTGAGGTTGCTGTGAGCTAGGCTGACGCCATGGCACTCACTCTAGCCTAGGCAACAAAGCGAGACTCTGCCTCAAAAAAAAAAAAAAAAAAAAAAAAAAAAATAGGCAAGATTTGAACATACACTTCACAAAAGAAGATAAACCAATAATTACGTGAAAATGTGCTCAACATCATTAGTCATCAGGAAATGCAAATTAAGAACGTGAGGTATCACTTCATCCCCTCTAGAATTGCTAAAGTTACAGAGACTGACAATACCACGTGGTGGTAAGGGTGTAGAACAACCAGAGCCCTGGCATTTTGCTGGGCGGAGTATACACCCATACAACAACTTTGGGGAAAGTTTGTTAGTTTCTTAGAAAGTTAATCATATACATCCTCCACTTCCAGGTATTTACCCAAAGAAAGAAAAACACGGGTCTATAAAAAGGGTTGGTCAGATAAATTCTTTTCATAAAATTTCCCAAAATAACACAAATATCAATATACAAGTAAATGGATTAATAAATTATATTATAATCACATAATGGAATATTACTCAGCAGTAAGAACACAATGCTATAACAGATGAATCTTTAAAAATTACATTGAATGAAAGCAGAACACAAAAAGATAAGAAGTGTATCTAAAAGAGGAAAAACTAAGAAACAATGATAGAAATCAGAACAGTGTTGCCTTGGTGAAAAGACTTATTTGGAAAGGGGTATAAGGTAACTTTGTCAAAACTTTTCAAAAGGTATACTTAAAATCTGTCCACTCCATTGAATGTAAATTACACTGCAATAACAAAAAATATATATGCAAAGCCCTTGTCTTCAGAAAACTTAAAATAGTGAAGGAAACAAGACATATATGAAAATGCAAAAAAAAAAAAAATAATAATATAAAAGAGATTCTAAAGCAGTATGTGACCACAGTCGAACCAGACTGGGAAGAAGAGGGGAAACACCCGCTGTGAGTTAGAGTGGATGGGAAACCCCACATGGAAGGAGGTTGAAGGGTGAGCAGATCTGAGGGGGCAGAAGCTAAACCCCGGGGTCTTCCTTATGTTAACTCACTGGCTGACTCTTCACAGCAAGTCCATCCAACAGGGAGGAGTAAAGCCTGTTTTTACAGAGTGAAGTTCAGAGAGGCTAAGAGCTCTGCCCAAGGCTATAGAGCTTACAGGATTAGACTTTGACATAGGAATTGGGGCATGCGTGAACCCAAAGCTTATGCTCACCCAGTAAAGGGTATTTCACTTATAAGGGACAGAATTTGCTAGACAGCTGTGAGCAAGAAGCACATGTGGTAGGAAAAGCCCTGGTTAGTGCCAGGAAGTGTCCTTTCTGGGTTCACATGTTTAGAATTTTGCTCTACAGGAGGGAATAAACAGCTGATTCTACTCAAAGGGCTCTACTGCTGTTCATAAACCGTGAGAGTGTTTATGTCAGGGGCAGAGCTCCCCAACTGAATTATAGCCTTTTACACACTGTGTACATACAGCATTTTCACAGAACAAAGAAACAGGGCGTGTAAGGAATGCTACAGTTGACCTTTCTCTCTTTCCATCTTTCTCTCCAAACTTTTCCACCAGTCTCAGGCCTATACAGTGTAGGACAGGTTTTTTTTTCTTTTCATTTTTGGTTGTGTTTATCCATTACCTGGCCTTCTGACACAGCCCAGAGTACTCAGTTCAATTCAAGAAGGGAACTTTTAAACTATTTCTTCTTGCTAGCATGAGCTGCTAGCTTTCTCTTTTATTACATTTAAAATGGATCCATCTTTGCTACAGTAAAGCAGATTTTCGAACGTTACTTCAGATGTTTTCTTTAGACTGGTGTTAACGTAAAGCAAATGTCTCTTCAAGCTCTGAACCAATCTGTTAAGATAAACAGGCTTCACTTACGATATTCCTACACTGAAATCATGGGCTTGTGGTCTGCAACTTCTTAAAGACTCAATTCATACATGCTAAAATGTCTACTTAAGAAAAATGCACACATACACACACACGCACATACACACATACCAAGATAACTTTGCCATGGAAACCTCAAAGACATGTCTGGTTCAGCCTTCATAACACATACCACAAATAACGGCCCATCTTCCAGGAGCAGATCCGGTATACACACACGGAAAGCCCAGAAAATTAAACAACTGCAATACTTCAAACATAAAACTTACTTTACAAATCCTTTTTTTTTTCAGTTGTATTTCAAGATATGTAAGTCTTAATCATTATTATCAGTTATATTTGCATATGTTTGTTTCTTCCTTAAATAGAATTTCAGACTTGGGTGTCATGGATGAAAAAGGAAAATACATGGCACCCGAAGTTTCAGATAACAACTCTGGATTCCACAGACAAATCTGGTGCGGTCTGCATTTCCAGAAAAAGCCACTCTGTCATTATTTAAAAGAGTCCTGACCCTTCTATAAGTGAAGGTCTTGTACTATGGAAAAGTAGAGTCGAGGCCAGAAGGTCCCCTGGGAAGGAAAGGGGTCTAGGGGAGGGGGGGGGGAGAGAAAGAAGTCCTACTAATTGAGAACATCCCAAGTCTAGAAGGCCAGGCTTTGTTAGTAAGTACTTTAAAACTGTCAGAAGTTTGATATGATAAAGGCTTTATCTCCCCAGCTGAGCTGCAAATCCCATGAAGACATGGACACTTTCCAGTTTATTTATCATTATATCCTTAGCATAGAGCACGATGCCTGGAACATGGTAGATGCTTACTAAATATTGGATGAGCAAATGAAGAGGATGCTTAATAGTCTTCATTTTCGTGATTCTCTGGATCTGATCATCCTTCAGCTGGGATCACAGGTGTGAAGCATATGGCTGTTCCGAGTGATAAAGTAATAACCACATGCCACTCTGTAATTTATTTTTGGAAACTATGATTTTGATCCACTGCTACTTTAGTCTAGGAGTCCATGGTTCATAAAGACTGATGGTCCAGACACTAAAGTCTTACCTATAAAAAACACTCACTCAGCCTATTTCTGAATTTACCTGTCCTGTATGACTGAGCCGAGAGCTTTCTATACTGAGAAGTCTGTGAATAATCGTTGCCCCTAAACTCCAAATTCTAGCTAAACAAGAATGAGAGGTTTGTGAGCAATAATTGTACCTCCAAATTACAAATTCTAGCTAACTTCAACCTCTATGAAATCCCCAGCCTACTTCCATAAGAATTTTAATTGTTCTAAGCTATTTAATCAAGGACCCCGCAGGTCCTACTTTGGGCAATGGCTGTGCAATGTATTACAGAGATGTAATGAGGTGTATAATTCAAAGAGATTCAATTCCATATGAGAAAGTAGCTACTGGATCCATGTATTGACTATTAAGCAAAAATTCTATTTGTTTACTGTTACCTGAAATTTTTATTTTTTTAAAAAACATAAAAGTAGTTGCCAATATTTTCATCACTGTCACCATTTATCTACAACTTGAACTCCTGTTTAGTATTCTTCTCTAATCTAAATAGAGATGTGGATTTCTGATAAATTCTACAGTATATTTTTTAAAAAATCAGTCAGCAGTCATGGCTAATTTTAGACACCAACAGAAATAGTAGGAAAAGGAAACACTTTCAGATATAGGTCAGCTTCTTCCTGATTAGGCTACAAAGGCCCAAGTAGTAAATATTTTTGGTTTTGAAGCCCATATGCTCTCTGTTGCAACTATACACTCTGTTACTGTAGTGTGAAAGCATCCATAGATATGTAAAGAAATGGGTATGGCTTTGTTTCAGTAGAACTTTATTTACAAAAATAGGCACAAGGCGGGATTTAAGCCTGTGGGCAATAGCTTGCCAACCCCTGGACTAGAGAAACCCAATGTTCCTATCTGTAGGAAATAACAAAGGATTCACTTACTTTGCTCTTTTGGCCATTTCATTTCCATCCCATCTGGGGCTGTATGGATAATTCTTTTGGGCCTGGGAGTAAAGTTGTCCGCTGTTGGTAAAGTGATAGACGGATTGAAATGTGAGAGTTGGTTGGTCTCGAGGAAAAAACAAGGGCAGGTCAACTGCAAAGACAGAAGAAAGGAAAACAAAGTTAGTGCGTAAACACATCTTAAGATACTTTTTTGGCTAAATCAGAATGTTGGGTACAAAACCACAAAGACTGGTTGAGGCTTGGAATAAAGGTATAGTGTGGAGAGAAAGACCAAAAAATACAAGGTGTCTTCCCTGCCTTCAAGGAGTTTATACTCTATTCATAGAGGCAAATCACAAATGAAAGAAAAGGTAATCAATACAAGGCATGATGTGTGGGTGCTGGAAGAAGTCTATGAGATGGTCACAAAAACTTAGGGCAGAAGTATGACCGGACACGGCAGCCATCTGATCTTCCCCTCTGGCACCTACTTTGTCCAGTGTTCCATAGCAGAGTTAGTTGTTACATCTGTTTTAAGTCTCTATTATAGCATAAACTCTTCAAGGGTTGGGCAGTGTCTTCCTCAACTCTAACACTACAGAGGAAGTCGGAGGGAGGCTGTTTTCAAGAATGGATTTAGAAAAGGGATAAAGAGGACAGGTGATTATCTTTCTATTTTACAGAATATGGCAACTGGACTGCCAGAAAAAATAGTTATCGCTCTACTTCCAATCAAGCAGTGAATTTTGATACTCAGCAGTTTCAATTTTTTCCATATGCATTACCACATATATTTATATCTACTAAATCAGTGGGAGTTCCTTAATGGAATGCAACAGAGACTAATCTGAGCACCAAATATGTCTGCTGTGATAGTACAGGCTGACTCTAATCCTTGCTGTTAAATGTGTATTATGTGCTTTCTCTTTTCATTTTGGGTTTTTTTTTTTTTAACTCAATTTTAAAAAATAAAACGACTTGCTATTTTTAGTTGAGCAAACCATCATTAAAAATACAGATTGTTTCAATAGCACATTCTTAAAGGTATATAATGTGTGTTTGTGTGAATGTTATCCACTTCTAGGACAAAGAACAGAAACATTATCAAAAATAACAAGAAAAATGTGCATAGAATTTTCTAGCTTTACAGAATAACTTTTACATACTTTATCTAATTTGTTAGTTATAACTCCATGGAAGAGACATTACTTTTTTTTTTTTTTTTTACTGTTATTTTCATTTATTTTATGTTGCATCTATTCCCGTGCCATAAGTTTTTGTTTCTTCAGTTTCTTCTGGGATATCTTTTTCTTCTGTGCAACCTCCTCTTCTGGTTTTGGAACAATCTGTTCCTTTTCAGTGAGGATCATCCCGATGTGGCAGGGGAAGCTCATGTATGGATTAATCCGACCATGAGCTCTGTTAAGTTCCGCGACGCATCTTGGGTGCTTTGTTCACCTGGATATGCTCAATGACCAGAGAATGTACATCCAAACCCTTAAGTTCAGCATTATTCTCTGCATTTTTAAGCATATGCAGCAAAAATTCAGCAGTCTTTTTGGGCCACCGCCCCTGTGTCCAGCCCCACTGTTTGGCCTGGGCACACCTACCAACTCCACCATTGTAACGTCTGAATGGTACACATTGTTTCTTTAAAGTGACATCTTTCAGATACTTGGTGGCTTTTTGTATATGCATACCACTGATGGCCTGGGCAGTTTCACGAGTGTTCTTGAAGTGAACAAGAAGATTTAAACCTCTTGACTTGCATGATTTTGTGGGGTTTTCTGGGTCAAGTGAATAGCGAACCATTTTCACAAATCACCTCAGGCCGCTTGAGGGGAAGAGCGAGACATTACTTTTTAACATTTGCATTTAACAGATGAGCGAACCTGAGACTCCAAGAGATTTACAACTTGCTCATGCCATAGATGGGCAAGGGCAAGACTCAAATCTAGTCCCATGACTCAAATGCTGGGCTCCTACTATGCCACATTGCTTCCTCCTGTGTTAATGTACACTGGTATAACCTGCTTAGAACTCACTATGCCATAATTGCAATTTAGTAAGCTAAAGTTTCCACTGTGAAGGATGTATGAGGTTCATTTTTTTGGCTAAATGAGGCAGGTATATTCATAATATATATACTAGATAGTTATATGTCTATCATCATCCCGGTCTGGGGTGACATTCAACTTGGACTAGGATCTCTAAGCACCCAATATGATTTCTTGAAGGAACAGTTAGGTTCCTAGCAAACTTTAAAAAAAGAAAAACCAACAAAAAACCCCAAGACACAAAACCTGTCCAGTTGGAAGGGCCTCTTAGACCACTGAGTACACTTGACTCTGATGATGTGTGACTCAGTGCTGCAGGGGGTTTCTACAGATGAATCACACGACAACCAGAGAAAAGGGGCAAGATTTTGAATGTCCACTCTTTAGTCATATTTCTCAAGCACCACAATAAGGCAGCCTCAATACATGTCTATTTGTGCCAAAGCAGAAATTTCATAACATATAGGCACAATAAAAAATATAAAAAAGACTAATTCAAATTATAAATAATTCAATTCAAAAAACCCTTTTGAATTCATTCTTATTACAAACCGCATGATCTGTACTATCTTCAGTCACTTTGAACAAATATTACTTTCTAAAATTAATTTTATATCTTTTCTGATTACTCATTTCATTTCCTCTGATTGATTTTAGAAAAAAATGCCTATTCACATATACTTTAATCTGACTTCAATTCTTTTCATATTACGTACAAGTTTCCAAATATAAAATAACATTCAGATTAACCTCCAAAATGATCACTACCAGCAAAAGAGTAATTAACATGCAAGCTTCCCTACAAAAAAGTAACAATTTTAAATAATAAAATCCAATGGCAATAATTTATAAATGTAAAGTAAATATAGTTATTGCTTAGTATCAAAAGGAATGCAGATAATACCACCAGCTATGTGATTCTCAAGCCACTGGCTTTTTTTGGGCTTTGGAATGCATTATATTTTTTGTTCTTCTTATTTAGTTTTGTAGAAAATGTGTTACTGGTATTAGTATTTTGATATGCTGAAAAATGATTTTCCCTTCTATTTTTGTACAGTCTTCTTTCACCCCCTAACTGCCCAATTAGCAAGAGAAACAACTCAAAATGTGAATGTAATTTATTTACTTAGGCAAGTGAGTTCTAATTAAAAAAAAAAAGGCAGCAAGCTATATGCTGATATACCATGATCCCCCCAAAAGCACTGATTACATGATTATTTCACCACGGAAATTTATCTAACAAAGTGGAACTGAAGTCAATATTAAACTTTGAATATTTTCTCTATGTACACAGTAACTGGATTGTCAGGGGAACAGGAATGGTCAGAGTACTGAAGAGATAAAATTGGTAATTCACATGTTAATTCACATATGAGCAAGTAAAATTTTAAAAATACAAATGTCTTGTTCAACTTAACTAAGTTGTACCCTGTCTTTATTAGTCAATAGTTGACAAAAGGATGGCTTCTTTAAAAATGTTCTATGCATAAGAATGAGTTAAAAACTAAAATATTTATAAGAAATACTTTACATTTTTCTTATAAGGATGATTTGAATGGTAAAAATTAGTCAAGATTTAAAAAAAAAAAAAACTTGTTTTCCTTATCCCCAAATGTTACTGTCACTTAACTTTTGCCTACAGGTTAACTCATGATTTTCTGATGCATAGTAAAATAATTACTTTTAGCCTTCAAACAGCCAACTTGCTCTGAAGGAACCTCTTGGGTTCTATGCAATTTGGGCTCATAATTTCCGCTATATCAAAATTGAACACTTTAACCATTTGTTTTCTTAGAATGTACTGGCCCAGGATTGATTCCTGGAGCAAAAACATTCCATTTGGTTCAGTTACATATTGCCAGTATTGTTTTGACAACTGCTTCTTATTTCCTTCTTCCTGTATACAGAGACTGAATTTTGGTTAGCTCTCTATCCACAGAAAGGATGGTCCTCATTTACTTACAAGAACTTCAATAACCATTTCTGAAGCATTACTTTCTTCAAGAACTTGTTGAGACCAGGCACAGTGTGCTCACGCTTGTAATCCTAGCACTTTGGGAGGCTGAGGCAGGAGGACTGCTTAAGGCCAGTAGTTTGAGATCAGCCTGGGCAACATAGCAAGACCCTATTCTCTACAAAAAAAATTTTAAAAATTAGCCTGGTGTGGTGGCATGCACCTGTAGTCCCAGCTACTCAGGAAGCTGAGGTGGGAGGATTACTTGAGTCCAAGAAATTGAGGCTGCAATGAGCTATGATGACACCACTGCACTCTAGCCTGGGTGACAGAGCAAGACCCTGTCTCTTAAAAAAAAAAAAAAGAACTTGTTGAAACAAGTTAAATCAAACACTTCTAATTCTGCAAAAACCAGGCAGTTCACAGGACTCATTCACAGGGCTCTGAACTTGTGGGAGAAGGCAGGAATAATTAAGTTCCACACCAGTTTGCCTCATTCTGGACAGTCATTGCAGTGACGAGTTCTAGTGGGCACAGTCCCAGACCCAGAGGTGCTCTCCAGGCATTAGCCAACCATGCAGCTTTGGGAAGAAGCTGAACACTGAACCATGCTGCCTCCCTCTGATCCATGGTGAGGTTCCTTCCAGTGGATGGCCACAGTCTTACCCTTCCTAGCAAACAAGCTTACCTGCCCTTAAATGCCCACCTTTCACCACAGGAAGACTCCAGTAAAGTAGTATCCAAGTTCATAAGACTCTAAAAAATGCCTTACTGCTCCAAAAACCTCAATGATGAAAAAATGACATTGAAATAGCCAAAAGAAATGCCACACTGTACATGGGATTCACAGGACAGCTTGTCAGACACTCAGAACATTTCAGGCAGAGTTCTAACAACTTTGGTTATATGACTTTTCCAGAAAAAACAAAACATATCTATTAATAATTACAGCAAGATGAGTATAAGGCACATTAAGAGCAAGCAGTGATAACTAGTAGTCTGGCACAAAGGAAGGGGACAATAAAATAAATAAAAGCAGAATTAGGAGGGCTGAAAGAATTCCAGTCTGGGGCCATTCAGTGCAGGAACAAAACACTCTATGTATCCGAATCATCCCTCAAGCTATCACCATACAGTAAGTGACGTTCACCTCCACTCTTGCTAGCTGAGGCAGACACTCAATTGCCTACCCAACAGCCATTCTCCTGGGTTCTTTATTATGGGCACAGCCCTCCTCCCACTCCAGAGCCTGCAGGTGCTGGATATTCACTCTCTTAGCCTTCCATAAAACCAAGACATGGAAATGTGACTCAGTCCTGCCAATGGGACCTGAGAGGAAGTTAGCGAGGGGTCTTCTGAGAAATATTTTCCTCTCTGATTTAAGACATGTGTCAGGAGAAGCCCCCATTTCATTCTTGCCTTAGATCTTCTCACATGAGGTCTCGAGGCTTGCGGTGGTGGCACCCATCTTGTGACCATGAGGGAGGGTCAGTCTGGCATCACCGAGCTGCACTGATCACCCTGCAACTGCCCAGCTCTGGTTTTCTTGTAATGGGAGATGATTACAATTCTCTACTGATTATAAGTCTTTATTATTTAAACCTCTTCCAGCCAAAGGCATCTAAGGAAATGTTATTCATATTTCTTGAAACTTCTGTTCAAGAAGGCAGGATAATTGTATAATCTATTTCAGAAATATTTCTACTAAGCATGGTTAAAAAAACATTCAAGGCACATAAATAGGAAAGTTTTGGTTGTCTGGAAAATTCAGTTTTGTGGGACAGTTCAAGCCTTGAAAATGCCAAACAAATCAGGGGCTAACCATAACTGCTTCCCTAGGAATCACATCATCAAATATTTTCATCATTATTCACAAATCGACCATTATTTCATTTCTTCAAACCTTCCAAGCTATATATTTCTGTGCTTCTCCCCTTGTGCTCATGGGTTAGCAGGGAAGCTACTCAGGGATTCACTTTGCGGTGGTTATGGTGAAACCCCCATTTCCAGTCTTCTCAGGCCTCTCCAGTTCCTCAAAGCCTCATTATGGAACAGTTTTAACCTCTGGTTAAACTTACTATAAACTCACCCTCCAATGATGATTCCATTTGAGGTTGATTATTCCCAAGAGCAGTTTGTGCACATCTCATTCCCAGGCTATCCCCACAACCAATGCGAGAAGGCTGCCATTTATTTACTGCCACCCCACATCTTACTAACTAGACGCTAAACCTTTGAGACACATGGATTCCAACCACTGGAAAATTAACAATGTGTATCCAAAATATTCACCTACAAGAAATATAAAAGTAATGTTTTCCAGTTCAGAAGTATCCCTATTTAAGGCATTAAAAATCAAAATCAAAATACCTTTATCAACACTGCCTTTCATTTAAGTGACAGGGAATACTAAATATTAACCAGATTTTGTTAAACTGGTTTTACTTTTCACTGGTTTAAACTGGTTTCACATTTTCATTATCTTTTGTGTGATTTGATCATGTAAACAGGTTACCTTGGGGTTTTATTATTACCAAACTGAAGCCTGAAGTTTCTTGAATTTTACTATGTATGCTAAAAAATCCTATTATGGAAGGAGACAGCATGTTATGTCCATGGAGTCAGATAAAAAGGGGTTCAAATCCTGGCCCCACAATTAATTAGTGGTTAAATCACAGGCAAAATATTTCATTCTTTGAATCTGATTTTCTCATCTGCAAAATGAGGATACGAATTCCTATCTCGTAGCATGTGTTGAAACGGTTAAACAAAAACTGAGCAGGTGTTCCATGTAAAATGTAAACTTTCTGGTCCCTATAGTATAAGACTTCAGGTGCTTCAATTTTAACTATTTTGTTGAAAATCTTTCTAAACTTTGTACATACCTTTACATCTCAGCAAATAGGACATACTGAAAATAAATTAGTCTTTTCTTTATGACAGAGGATACATTAAAAATCATTAGACATGAAGGCCTCAAGTGTTAAGGAAGCCTTAGCTTGCTATTTCACAAATGCATCCTACTTAAGAGTCTACACTCCCCAAACTTCTGATTTCTGAAAATGCACCTCAAGTGATTTTGATGTGCCTCCTAGGCAGGAAATACTGCAGAGAACTGTGAGCTCCTTAAGTGCAGGGGCTGTGAATTAGTTATTTCAGTATTACAGTACTTAGCACAGTGTGTGACACGTGAGAGACGCTGAATATAAATGCTTATTGAACTGTAGGAAAGGAATGTATAAGGGAAATACAAATTAAAACCTCAATGAGATTCCATGTCATACCTGTTAGATTGACAAAAATTTAAAAACCAGACAATACCCGGTGTTGTCAAGGCTTTGGAGCACAGGGAATTCCCAGTACAGTAAGAGTGAAGAGGCACATCCTCCATGACTCAGCAATTCCATGCCTAAGAAACTGCACAAGTGCATAAGAAGATGATAGGAGAAGGACTGCTGTAGCGTTGTTTGTGACAACAGAAATTAGAAACATCTTACATGTCCATCAACAGGAGACTGGATAAATAGACTGTGACATATTCTTTCAATGAAAATACCTTATAAGTTGTTTAAATGAATGAACAAGAGCTACATGTACCAATATACATGAATCTCGAGGACATAATGTTCATTGAAAAAAGCAAGTTACAGGTGAATACTGTTCAATATATACATATACATTTCAAAACCATGCATATATCATTACACATTATTTATGAATATCTATGTACCAAAAGTATAAAAACATGCATGGGAAAGATATATACCAAAATAAGGCCAGTGGTTACCTCTGCAGGTTAGGGAGAAGGAGAGAAGGATGGGAATATATCAGTGAGGGATACTTGGACGGCTTTGACTCAATTGCTAGTGGCTCTCTTTTAAAAACTCAGAAGTAATTACTGCAAAGCATTAAGATTTGATTATGGTGGGTACATGAGTATTTGTTTTTGTACTCTCTGTACACTGTTTAAGCTTTAAATAGTCATAATTTTAAAAAGTTTTAAAAAGCAAAGACATTAATATTCACAGCAGCAGAAAACAATCAGTATGATTCCATTTATATAAGTTCAAAAATAGAAAAAAATAAGTGATATATTGTTTATGGACAAATAGTAGGTGGTAAAGCTATCAAGAAAGTCAACAGAGTGGTTAACATAAAGTTCAGGGTAGTGGTTACTTCAGGGAGAGACACTCATAGAGCTTCTAAGACACTTGCACTATTCCTATTTCTTAAGTTGGGTGGTGTTTTATATGATCTTTGTGTGTGTGTATATATATTCAAATAAATATTAATTTAAAAAATGGGAGCATTTATAAAACTAAGAGGGTCAGAAAAACTGAATGGTATTCAAGAAAAAAAAAGTGGTAGAATGATAGGAAGAATGAAGGTTTCCATGCCCTTGGACATGGTCTCAAGAAGAGACCTGAAAAGGTAAAGAAGCCACTGCAGTTAAGCACACTAAAGTGACGGCTGAGGCACACACATGGTGTATGTGCAAAGGAAAAGGGAGCCCTGCCTGAGGTTCAAGCTTTGCAGAGGAGAAAAACTTTGAGTTGGTTCTAGAAGGTTAAAAGTTGAATTAGAACTAGAGTCTGGGGAATATTTCATAGAAAGGGAAGGTGATACTGTGTAGACATAACAATTTTCCACTTTTTATTTGGCTCTTTTGGTATCATATATAGTCAACGCAGAGAAAGCCACAATTTGCCCTATTTTACCAATCCTGTTTTCCTTCCCACTACTCTACTGACTTTGCATATGTGAAGAGACATGGGTGACACAAAGATGAAAGCAGCTGATGCTGGCCTTGGGAAGCTCACTGGCCAAGTTGCTCTCCCTACCTGGAGGGCCCTTCTTGCTTATCTGGGTTTGTGCTCATCAAGGCTCAGTTTGTCAGGAAATGCCTGTCCTAGAACTCTGCATGCTTCCAACTTGTGCTCCCACATGGAGCTTGCTCAGGGCTGGCCCTCACGAGGATGAAAGGAGGACATCACTGGCTGAGGCTGGGACCTAGGGGCCCTCAGCATGGGAAGCCTTCCTTGTCCCAAGTACTTCTCTGTCCCCTTACTTCACCATTCTGTCATGCATCACACATTCAGGGAGCATGTTCCCTGTTCCAGGCCCCACACTAGAACTGAGGGG